GGATCAATTAAGTAATTATACCAAGGATAAGAGCATCCAGATCTCACTGTTGAGGGAAGGAGTTAGAGATTATAAAAAGAGAGAAAACTAGAATGTACCTTTGGTTTATAGTTGGGAATTACAGGGATTGGTATGAATTCATGATTCATGATTCATTCTCTCTACATGTTTATATCAAGAGGGAACACACTAATTTTCTTGTCAGACACATGCCTCTGTGAACTGTGACTGATTTATAAATCAGTTTCAACTCCTACGCAAAAGTTGATTCCCAGGGAGTCTGAACATCTCTTGGCAAATTGTAAGAAAAAGTCTTTGGACTCAAGAGATCTTAGGACAAAACCTTGGGTTTCTAGGGACACCTCCTACCTCCACCTTGGGTTCTAGGGAAACCCTGCGTTCAGCAGCTTGCTAGCTATGTCCACCAGAAAAAAAAATTGTAAAAAAATGTCAGTTATTCCTAAATTTATGTATAAATTCAACTGCAGCTCAAAAGACAAAGCAGACTCTTTTGTTTAGCTTGATAAAAATGATACTGAAGTTCATTAAAGAAAATATACATACAGGAATGGCCCAGAGAAATTACAAATAATGAAGACATATCCAGCTGTGAGACTATTTGAAGATATCAGTATTATGACAGTTATCAAAAGAAAAGAAAAAAACAAAAGGGAGAATTTGACCAAAGTCATTATTTGCATGTATGGACATGTCACCTCTTTGCATGATAAATATACACTAATAAAAAGAAACAGAGAAAAAAGAAGAAACACAAAGACGAGGGAAACAGATGAAGGAGACTAAAGCATGCTTCTAAATGCACTGCAATCTTAAGTGGATCCTGATATTCTTATTTCTATTATTTATTTTTAGGTATTGGGGTTTGGACTCAGGGGCCTCATGCTTGCTAGGCAAATCTCTACCACTTGAGTCCTCCACCAACTCTTTTTACTTTAGTTGTTTTTCAGATAGGTAGGGGCTCACATTTTTGCCTCAGATCATGATCCTTTTACTTCTGCCTCTTTGTAGCTGGGATTACCACCATGCCTGGCTTATTTGATGAGATAGTGGCTTACTAACTTTTGCTTGGGTTGTCTCAAACTGTAATTCTCCTATCTCTGCCTCCCAAGTAGCTAAGATATAGTTGTGAGTCACTTTGCCTAGCTTGCTTCTTTCTTTTTTTTTTTTTTTTTGAGGTCTCACTATGTAGTCTATGCTGATCTGTAACTTCAGGATCCTCCTGCCTCAGTCTCCTAAGAGCTAGGATTATAGATATTCACTACCATGCCCTGCTAATTTTTTAATATTATAACATTATGGTTGTATAAACTGTACTTACAGAAAAATAAATCTGAAATACTGAAGATGAAATCTCAATGATCATTTCAACTTATTTTCAAACTTTAGGACAAATATAATAGATATATAAATACAATAAATCACATAGGACACATAGGAAATACAGAGGGGGTCAAGAAAAAAATAATTTTAGTTTATAATCTCGCCTTCCAGGATAATAGAGCTGGCTGACTATTAATAACAGTGTTTCATATTAACAATGTAACATTCTTTTTTTCTTGCCTAACACCATCTCTCTTTTACAAAGAAAATGCTGCTGGTTTCTTACCGACTTTATCGGAGGTAGCATGGCTGCTAACAGTCCCAAAATCCTCTTCTGGGAGCACTCTGCAAACACTTGCTTCAGGGCTTGGAGCAACCACCTTTTCCTCTATTGGCTTCTGAGACAACACTTCTAAGTTTTCAGTATCTGTGAGGTAAAATACCAACTTTCAGGTTCTCAGTTTCACATGCATATAAAGAGGCAAGTAAACACTGCACTGTCCCTGTACTGCTACAGAATGAACTGGGACTTATTCAAACAGTAAGTATAGGCAGTGTGTGGTACATACCTGTAATCCAGCACTCAGGAGGCTGGCAGCCTGGGATGCATAGTGAGGACTTTGTTGAAGAAAGGAGGAGGAGAGGAGAGGGAGGGAGTGCTGAGCATGTCTTTGTGCAATCTCCCCTTCTAAAGAAGCCTGCCAGGCAGGCCCTATTTGAGGGCAGCTGCCCTCCACAGCTCCCCATTCCTCTGACCTTGCTCTTAAATTAGATGCTCTCTAGCATTAAAATCACCTTTTTAAACCCTTGTTCCTTCCTATTATTGCTTATACACTCTCTTCAACAAAATTAGAGATAAGGGCAAAATAGTTTCTGCTGGGTATTGAGGGGGTGGGGGGGAGAGGAAGGGGGCAGAGTGGGGGGTAAGGGAGGGGGTGGGGCAGGGGGAAATGACCCAAGCCTTGTATGCTCATATGAATAATAAACAATAAAAAAATAAATTAATTAACAACAACAACAAAAAAAATCACCTTTTTAACAATTCTGTATACTTGTATTTAACATTATCGCCTTCTGATTTTTTGCCTCTTTTAGTCATGTATCTCAAGCACCCAGCAATGTCTCTGGAACATGGAGGCACACGACAGTTGCTGCCTGAACTAGAATGCTGTTCTTCAGGGGAAAATCACTCTAGTGGACTTTGAAGACTAGGACTGATGTGGAGTGTCAGTCCTTTCTGAAAGCTGACTCCACAGGTAGGGCACAATGCCAAGTGCTCCCTCCCACCTCCAGCACAGAGCAGCCCACCTCCCAGGACTGCCACAAGGAGGCTGAGGCTTGCTCTTAGTCTCATCAGCCTGTAGCACCTTCTTCAGGTGCTGCACCTCTCCTCCATCCTCTAAAACCCCAGCTCTGATGGTACCACTGCTTGCCAGGCTGAGAGGATGGAACTTCCCAGGCAATCAGCTGGGCCCTGGCAGCACAGTCCCATAGCAGCTCTCTGTTTCATCTTCCAGTGCTCTGCTCCTGTGTTGTTCTGGGGCCTTGGCTCATGGTGCTCTTTCTGCCCTGAATGCAGGTCCTAGCACATTCAAGATCTCTCACATTTCTCCCTTTCTCTGGTTTTATGTGGATACAATCTGTTCTAGAGAAAGACCAATCATGGTTAACATCCTCTTCCCCTTCTCTGGCAGAATCTCATTCCACCTCAAGTGACAGTTACTGTACCTTTGTCTTAAACCCTCCTGTACGGTGAGCTCCAGGAGGGCAGGAACCAAATGCCTGCCTGCCTGGATCAGTCCCTATTTCATCCTAGGGTCTAGCATGGCACATAGAAGACACTTACTAAATACAGGGAATAAATAAGGCAGGAAAGTAGTCAAAGACAAGGAAAGATGACTTTCAAAGTGCTATCAGCTCCATCTGAACAGAACAGAGAAAACTTGGTTGCTAGACAATTTCAAATTGAGTACAAAAAATAGTCCAGCACGTGTGTACTTTAAGAAGAGATCAAGGTGATGGTCAAATATTCTTTACCTGATATCCAGGAGGCGTGTGAGCATCTGCAGATACATCTGGAATTGGGTCTGACATGAAGGATCCTTCATTAGTAAGAGACCTTCATCTGCCTTCTTTCTTTCCTTGTAATCCAAAGGTCTGATTTCCTTGTCTACAGCTTTCTTTCCCTAAAAACAAGATAGTGAATATAAGAGAACAAAGGTTTCTTACAATGAAAGTTTATTCTATTTATAATATAATTTCAGCTAGTCTTGATAAACTAAAAAAGTTTTGAATTCATTAGAAACATGTCACTCATTTCTTTTTTTTTTTTTTTTTCAGTACTGGGGTTTGAACTCAGGGTCTACATCTTGAGTCATTCCACCAGCCCTTTTATGTGATGGGTTTTTTCAAGATAGGGTCTCATGAGCAATTTTGCCCAGGCTGGCTTCGAACTGCAATCCTCCTGATCTCTGCCTCCTGAGTAGCTAGGATTACAGGCAGGAGTCATCAGCACCTGGCTAATGTCACTCATTTCTTATGATAAATTTATACTCTGAGATAGTGGAGTCATATTTCCCCAAACATCCTCCAAATGCCCTTCTGTCAGAGCCTGTAGTCACATAAGCAATGGCCTTCTTCCAAATTTACTTAGCTTCCAGAAGCTGAGTGTGGAAAGTCCTTCCCTTGGTTAAAAGACAAAGTTGTCAATTTCCTTCTAGTATACTATAGGGACCATTTTTGATGTACTTTCTTTTTTAGGAGAAAAAATATTTACAATTAGAATAAAATTTTACATGTAATTATCTTTGATATTATTATGAAGATAAGACTACATCAAATCTAAAGCTTATAAATATGGTCAGGTGCAGCTGCTTTATTGATGTAGAAATGGGCATTCTTGGACTATGGGACAGAGTTGTGTGCTGTGTATTTTTTCACTCCTAGTTTTCTATGGAAGCTTTGCTAACATGGTAGGTGTTGACAAATCTAATCAGCCATCACTTGATCACACAAAACCAGAAACTATTCCTCAATAACATATACACACCCTCTCTACCATGTTCTAGCATTCTTTTCCAGTTGCTCTGTATTCTAACCAATCAAACAAGAACACCTCTGATGTCCTTACATCCCATTTGGCTCTCACTAGAGCTGAAAGACTTTTCTGGATTAGAAGCCTCAGGGTGAGCTGCCCCTTGGATAAAATTGTAGCCCTCGGCCTGCATTTCCCTGATGCTCGGCCTACACTCCTGGGACCTTAGGGTGCTTCTTCCCTGTGGTCACACAGGCTTACAGTAGAATCTAGGCAGTGTGGAGTGAAGACAGCTCAGCTCCCAGTCTTCAAAGGCCAAACCTGACTTTTGCAGCCAAAGGTGAAGTGAAGTGTTACACAACATCAAACGCTCAGGGGAAGGTACTATTCCTTTCCATTGGCAGCTAACTTATCCTCCTCTCTTTGGATACCTGGACATCAGCTCTACCCCCTAGAGAAAAAGGGGGTTCTAAGATGGGATGAGACTGGGACAGCTACTTGTCTTGTTAAAAGTATACCCTCTGAGCTGGGTGGTGTATATTTGTAATCCCAGAGTTCGAGAGGTAGAGGCAGGAGGATTGTCAGTTTGAGGCCAAACTGGACTACATAGTGAGTCTGAGGCCAGTCCGGGCTATGCAGTGAGACCCTGACTCAAAAAAAAAAAGTGAATCCTCTAAAAAGACCTCAGCTACTATATTCCCCATACCCTGTGGCACTCTGAAGACAGTATAATTCTAAAATTCGGGTGAATAACGTTGAACAATTTGAAACTTTTTTTTTTTTTGGTGGTATTGGAGCAGGAGCTCTACCACTTGAGCTACATCCCCACTATTGAATAACTTGAATATTAATCTTTTCTGTTGTCATAGGACTACAAAGGGGCGTGATGATTATACCCATGGCACTCAAGGACCTCATTATTGGCCTGAGGCTGTGGTAGGCAGAATCCTCTGAATGATGCCACTGGTTAAGGTTGGCTTCTCAGTTGTTTAAAGCAAAAAGTGTCACTGGGAGTAGGGAGGGCAGATATAGCTAACAGGACCTGGGATTGGCTAGAAGCACGTAAAAATTCAAAATCAAGTAACTGTCAGCTATGTTGGAACACACCTGCAATCCCAGCACCCAGGAGGTGCTGAACACAGGAGGATTATGAGTTCGAGGCCAGCCTGGGGTACACAGTGAGACCTTGTGTCAAAAACAAACAAATAAAAACAAGTGATTTGTACATAAAGTCCCAAAGGAAGATGGTTCTTAGGGTCATCTTAGTGATGACTCTTGAAAGTGTGGCTGTGCTAAAAGACTAAGAGACTGAACCAAAGGAAGGATATCTTAGGTGTGCTCAGCTGTTAGTGGGAAGGGTACCCAAATGATATGGGTAGCTCAAGAAGAAAATTAATGCCTTTGGGCCATCTTAGAAAAAGTCTTACTTCAATCCTCAAGTAGGGGAAGCCCAAAACAAAGCTGAAACACCTTGCAATAACAGAAATTAAGAAAGTGTTCAAAGAATAATTGTGACATATCAAAAGGACACAAAGGCCAGCTGGAAGGATTTGCCATTGGCCAAACACAGAACAATCTGAACATGCATTAAGATAAATAATGGAGAGATTTTAATCCCTGAGTCCACTGTGATGTAAGCAAATGAATAAATGGACAGGTACATAAGATGCTAAGAGCTGAGTGACAAAGATATCCCCAGGCACAGAGATGAGGGCAGCTGATTTAGTCTATCTCCCCTGATCACATTCTCCCTTCTCTACATAACCCACGGAGGTTAAAGAGCTGCCAAGATCAGGGATTTGTGGCCCCAGTGTCAGCAGCTCAGAGACTGGCTGGGAGATCACATGGCTGATTTCTGCTGCTCTCTGGTAAAATGAAGCTAACAGGAATTTTCACACTCTGTCAGTCATCTTTGCTTGTCTTCCTCTACATAATAATGGGAACCAACACCCGGGAATCCTTGAATTAGTGACTGCATGAGGCAGAGGACAGAAACCTCAGTGGTTCCTGGGGCAAAGGCAGGGATGTGGATGACATGGACTCAAGCTTTGGAGGCAGTATCACAGAAGAAATCCTGTGCTTTTCCACCAAAAAAAAATTAAATTATCTTTTTTATTTTATATTCACAAAACAATCTTTAAGTGTCACTATCACAGGTTATACCTTGCCCAGAAAGGCTTTTTGTTTCTACAACTACATGTAAACTTGGCATCTACTTATTAAACGATAAGATTTTGGTATCACGTATTTGTTAACTGAACATAAAAAGAGCTACATGTATACAGTGTTCAGTAAGGGCTAGGAACTAACTTCTTAAATTGCATAATCTTGTTCACTCCTTATAAAATCCATCAGGAGGCAGGTAATGGAAGAAGTTTGCACTGACATGGAACTTACCACGTAACTCCTTACAACAACCCTTGTTACAGACGTTATTTCATCCCCATTTTACAAATGGGAAAATGAGGCAGAGACTGTGGCAACATGCCCGAGGTCTGACAGCCTGGTGGAGGGTCTGCACCCTTAGCCTCTCTGCTGTGCTTTCCCATGTGAATGGCTCCCCAATCAAACTGTGACTCTGCATAGTAAAGAAGTACTATTTACGTGGCAGTGTACTACTGGCCCAGCCTCTGCTGGCTGCTCAGCGAGTTGGATGGCTTTCTTCTCTAGCTGCTTCTCTGATGTTGGCATGGGCACTGTGACTGGCAGGGTCTGGTGTTCTGGGGTAGAGTCACCATCTGGCAATATACCAAGAAGAGCTAAAGCTTTAAGACCTACAGGGGAAGAAAACAAGAGAATGGTTAAAAGTTACAAGGGTTATCTCTGATAAGTACCACAAAGACAGATAGCTGAAGACTACACTAACCACCCCAAGAACTCCCAACAGCAACATCCTGGCTGTCTACTCTATTAAAGCTGGACAGCAAAGGGCCATCTGCTCTTTGCTAACAACAGAACATGCAACAGGGTCATCTGTCTCCAAACTATAAATGTTACACTTGTACAGTAGCACCACAAAATGAGATTCCTGAATCCCCACTGGCAGGGAGATATAAAGATTTCTCAGACACCTTGGTGATATCTACCTGCTATCTAGAACAGGTCTGATTCCCTGATGTTAACTAGAATAAAAAGTCCATCTGAGAGACATTAAATGTCTCAGAAGTTTAACATTCAAGTTATTTTCTCCCTAGCTCTCCTCAGAGAAAGTCATAATCACCTAGTTAAAACTATCCTTCCTTCCTTCCACTCACCCACACAGGATCTTGCTACATGGCCCAGGCTGGCCTCAAATTTATGATCCTACTGCTTCAGCCTCCCAAATGCTGGGATTATAGTTGTGTACCACTCCACTCAGCAAAACGATTTTACTTTTATAGATAGCTCTCATCTAGCATACAATTGCGTGGAAATAAATTCATAATCCAAGTTAAAAAAAAAGTCTGGTTTTCCTCAGCAAAGTTCATTAGATTCAATTACTAAATACTTTATCCACAGACTTCAAGACTTTTAGTTATTAATAGCTTCTTACATCATCATGTAAATATTTTGAGAAATTAAATGTCACTTTATGCCAACAGTCTCTCAAGTGAACCTGGAATTTAAGTTCTAGGCCAAGGCAAGCCTCTGTTGTGGGTCACCAGACTCTCCCTGAGCTTGGCTTCCACCTGAGCTTTGCCTCCACCTGCAGCTGGGGGCTGGTCCTAGTGTCTGTGTACCAGAAAGAACAGTCACCTTTGCCCTGGTGAGCTTTCATCAGACAGTCTCCGACGAGCTGCATGCACTGGCTCCGCAGGGTGGCAGCACTGCTGCGGGCCTGGGGATTGACCTTCTCCCCATCGATGTCATCTGTGCTGGCCACGTGGGCACTATAGAGAGCCAGGGCAGCAAAGAGCAGCCAGGAATAATTGTGGATGTAGGGCTGGATGAGCCTCTGCCGATCACTGATCCGGATGGTTACCATGGGGTGGGCTGTGATGCTGTGGGTAGGCAAATGACTGCAAAGGCAAGACATTTTTATAAGAATTTGTGAGATTCCAAAAAGGAGCCTTGGGCCTCAGGGGAGTTCAGACTTGGTTACTACTGGGTATTAGTCCCCTCTAGGATATGGCTATTGAAATTTTAAAGAGAGGTGTGGGTCAGCTCCCCCCAAAATGAACAAACACAAATACTGGACATACCATTTCAGGATTTTACAACCCCTACAAAATTGGCTATGTGGCAATAGTGTTTTGGTAATTTAAGCTTATGCCCATAATTTTTAGAGCTAGATATAAAGCACACAGGAAAGAAATGATTTAATATCTGATTAAACATTTGCTTTAAAATACTTTAAAAAGCTCTGCATGGTGGTACATGCCTATAATTCCAGCACTCAGAAGGCTGAGGTGGGAGGATTTCGAGCTCAAGGCCAGCCTAGGCTACATAGCAAGATACAAAACAAACAAAAAAAACTTAAAGAAAAAGAAACAACAGGAATAAACTAAGTACATATAACAAAATCTTCCTAATTGTTCTACTTGCATAATGTACATATAAGGATTCATTGTACTAGTCTCTCTACTTCTGGATATGTTTGAAATTTTTTACAATGAAAACCATTTAAAAAAAAAAATAGGAAGGCTGGAGGTACAGCTCAGTTGTAGAGTATTTGCCTAGCATGTGTGAAGCCTTGGGTTCAATCTCAGCACAGCAAAAAAAAGCAAGAAACTCCCTTTAAGTGAAGAAATACATCAAGAAAAGGCCCATGTGGCTATGAAGCATCTGAAACATACCCATAGGAATACTTCTTTGCTGCATAGCATCCATAGCAAAGATCAAAGTCATCGCAAACATTGCAATTCATTCTCCGGCCTATGATCAAACCCTGGCAATGGTCACAGGTAAATTCCATGTTGACCATTTCATGATCATCTCCATGGCCCTCAGGCTTTACTCCACCTGGACAAAATACAGCAGTGTGAGGTGAATAGGGCAGAGAGATCTAAGAGGTACTAACAAACTGATCCCCACACCAGAGTTGTTTCCCATTTATTGTTCAGGAAGGCAGGAGCCAAAGGCACAGCCCTAGTGATCCTGAGCAGTATATGAATGACAGTCTCAGCCCAGAGCTCCTTGGCAATGATACCATGAACTGACCCCCTTCTTCACTGTCACAGCAGGATCAAATAACTTATCAATTCCCATCATGACTTCTGTTTGGCAGACACAAGCCACAGCCAATTTGAGAGTTGTCCCCTGTAACCCTCCTCTGACAAATATTAAGCAGTGGTTGGTACTTCTGTCAACAAGTGCTAAGGAGTGATCAGGGCTCTGCCATGTCTTTTTCACTCTAGATGAAAAACACTTTATAACAGCAGAGGGAGAGGGACCAGTGAGCCAGACTGCTCTGGCCTCCTCACTCTACATTCAGGAGGTCCCAAGCTCTCACATGGACCCTAACTTAATACCTCAAATCTGACCACTTCTGTTCCCATTGCCACAAATCTGATCCTGGTTCCAACACCCTTGTGACTATAGCGACTGCTTTACTTCTTAAAGCCTGACACAGGCAGGCTGTCTTCCTAGATCATAGCTCTGATTTTGTTAATATCCTAGCTGAAAAACCTTCCCCACTGTCTATAGACTCTTCAAATTCCTTAACCTATCATCTTGGGGTCCTATAATCCGGGTCCCGCTTGTCTTAATCCATCACTAAGTTGAACAGACACTCAAATGTGTTTATCTCAACTCACTGTAGGAGCTCAACTCTGTTCCTGGGCTTGCTCTGCCCTTTAGGGACAGTCTCCAGTGCATGCTTCGCATCATCCAGTTCTAACTTTCTTCAAAGACCAGTTCTCATCCTACCTCCTCCATAAGCCTTCCCTGAAGTAGTGCTGCTATACATTCATATTTTCCCAGAAATAGTCTATACTACTCATTTATAATTCAGCACATGCACTCATGTATGGATATGTTGGTCTCCCTGCTAGATTACAAGTGCTTCCAGGGTAGGAGCTGTGTTTTCTACTTCTGTGCCATGCAAACAAGAAACCCTTCAATGTTCACTGCTATTGATGTTCTTTGTCTCAGCACCTACAAGTTAAAAGTATTAAATAATTTTTGAAGTTTACTTTTTTGTATGTATTTTGCTATTTGCAAACAGTGCCTGATTCAGAAGCAAAAACTATTTCCTGAAAACTCAACCAAGTTCATTGGTCCTGAGTATTTATCAAGTGCCTGCCCAGCACCATGAGAGACAGGAAGATGTCAGATAAGATCAATGAAGTGGATCACTGAGTTGGGAAGATAAGGGTTTTTACTTGCCAAGGAGTCAGAGAAGACCACTGGGCAGTGTTTTTATTTAGTACGAGAGTTTTAAAAGATGGCAAGACACAGAAAATAGAAACAATTATTACTTTTAGGTATAACATGGTCAGTCCATGAAATTTACCTAGAAAGCAAGTTTTGCAGAGATCCATGTCACTGCACTGCAAACACCGGTAGCGATGCCAGGGGGCAATCTCATCACACCCATCACAAGAGATGTCCACATTTAGCAGATCACAGTAGCGAGCGATGAACATGTGCATCTATAAGGTGAAATGATCAAAATTAATCAACAGACTTTCTGATGTAGCCACTATTCATTAATCAATTCATTCACTCAACAGGTGCTTAAGATATCCAGGCATGCCAGGTACAGTAGTTCACACTTGTAATTCCAGCTACTTAGGAGTTAGAGATTGGGAGGATTGTGGTTAAAGGTAAGCATGGGCAAAAGTTAGTGAGACCCCATCTCAACAAAAAGGCTGGGCATGTTAGTACACACCTATCATCCCAGCTATGTGGAAATTAGAAAGGTTAAACCATAGGGGCCTCAAACTCTACTCTAAGGAGTTAATGACTGTTTTTAAATCAAAGAGTAATGGGATTAGATTTGACTGTTCCGAAGGTTCCTCTGCTGGCTGAACAAAGAAGGGATTGAAGGGAGTAAGATGAGAGTCAAGGAGTCTGAGCATGACAGAGTGGGTCCTAAGTATGATGGGAAAGGTGGGCAGACTTGAGAGGTATAAGGAGGCAGGGCAAGGAGGTGTGGTGACTGACTTGATATGGGGGTGAGGGAAAGGGGCAGAAGAGCAGCACCTAAGTGTTTGGTGGGTGCTTGGCTGGGTAATAGTAGTGCTCACAGACACTGACACTGCAGGACGAGCACTGCTTTCTGGCACTTAAAAACTTCAAAAACTATGTGGGGCACACCTGCAATCCTAGCACTTGGGAGGCTAAAGCAGGAGGAGTGCAGGTTCAAGAGCAGCATGAGCTAAATAGCAAGACCCTGTCTCAAAAAAAAAAAAACAAAAACCCAAAACTAACCAACCAAACAACAACAAATGAAAATAAAACAAAAACTAAAAAGAATAAAGATCCTGTGGAGAGGAAGGGCAGTGATTCACAAGTGAGGGATGGTGTTACTGGAAATTACTTGGGGGCTACCTGAAATTATCTTTAGGACCCGGACACAAGGGAACTAAGTCAGTAAGTCACCATACAGAAATAGAAGTCCTAGAGAAAAGCTGCCAAGTCACCTGAGCACTACAGAGGCTTCCAGTCAGGTATTACCATATAAGAGAGGAGTCACAGGCTCAGCTGGTGTGCTCCAGCCAAGCATCACGAAGGCATTATGTGAACAAAGTGGCTAGCACACAGTAGGCACTTAATATGTCTCTCAGGAGACAGTGTGCCAGTATACTCTAGCATATTTTCCTCTCCAAAACTCCTCACAAGTCACCCAGATTACTCTAGTTGGGAGGTCTTACTTTCCTCTGCTTCTCTGGATCCTCCTGGGCTATTTTTTCATACCAGGCCTCAAACATGCCATCTTGACACTCATCCATCCATTCTGAATTCTGCTTGGCATCAGCAAGCTCATCTTCTTCACTCCACTGGCTGAAAGAACAGAACAAAAGAAAAGCATGCCTATCTTGATACCCAAGGAGAATGCTGGTTAGCAGACACTATGCCCCTTCTGTCTAATAGATTGGACATTTCTAAGAGGAAAAGGTCCATTGCTTTTTAAACCAGGATTTGTCAGCTGTTCAATGGATATGTGCCAATAAAGAGGGAGAACTCCTTTCCTGAGTAGACTATACTGGGTGAGGTAAGCCTACCATGTTCCAGGTACTGGGGTCAAATACAATGATTTAAAAAAAAAAAGTGTGATGGGGCATGCTCAGAACATCCTAGTGGAACCGTTACGAGGAGAGTCAGGAGGCCCTGAGACTTCAGCTCTACTGCCAATTGTTGTAAGTCCTTGATATATGATAGTTGGCCCTCTATTTCTGTGTGCTCCATGGGTTTTGCATCCCTGGATTCAACGAACATGGGATCAAAAATATTAAAAAAAATTAATTGCATCTGTGTTGTACAGATTTTTTGTCATCATTCCCTAAATAATACAGTGCAACAACTATTTACACAGCATTTACACTGCATCAGGTATTGTAAGTACTGAAGATGTGATTTAAAGTATATGGGACAATGTGCATAAGTTAAAGCAGACACTGATATGTAAGGGACTTGAGAAAATGCAGATTTTGGAATTTATGAAAGGTCCTGGAACCAATCCACTAAGTGATGATTATACTTAGCCCTAGACCTATTTCCTCATTTTAAATACAAGGGCTTGGACTGGTGGAGTGGTTCAAATGATAGAGTGACTACCAATCAAATACAAGGGCTCACATAGACAATCTCATGGACTCCTTATAGATGCAAAATCATACATGTCCGTAATCTCAATTTACTCTTTGTTTCAACAACCAGAACTTTAAACACAAAAGGATTCTCTTGATAGCAAGTTCAAAGTATTTTCCAACAAATACATACTCATTCATTCGTTCATTCATTCATGCATACCAACAAAATGATTTTTGGTCTACTCTTCCTTAAAACTGGACTAATGCGGTGAGGGATGGTGTAAAGGCTCCCTCCCACCATGGAGGACTGTGTCATGCAGGTGCAGACAAAGTTTGAAACAATGGGCAGACTGATAGATGAAGAACCAGAACGCTAATGGCTGACCATCAGCACTCCCACGTTGTGTCCCCTCTCTCTGCCATCAGTGCCCTGTAATAGCATAGCAAGGGCTAAGGGCAGTTAAATAAGGAGACTGCTTTAATTCTATCCCTCTTCCCCAGAATATCTCCTCTGAGTGAAAATTGTTCCAGTGTGGCCCCACTCATGTACATATTTGCTCTTAACTTTTTCCTCTTAATGGCTGCTTTTCTTCTCCCATTCTTTTCTTTCTACACACACAAGTGGCTAATGGTAAGTAGACTTGAGCTAAGTAGAGACATGCTGGCCAAAATGCAATGAAAAGATATTTTGCATATTATTTTTTTCTTATAACCTAAGTCCTTATAATGGACATGTATTTTTGGAGGTACTGGGGTTTGAACTCAGAGCCTCATGATTGCTAGGCAGGCACTCTACCACTTGAGTAACTCCGCCAGCCCCCTAAGTCCTTATAAAGTGTAGGAGATTACAGTGGCTAACACCACATACAGGTGTAACAAAAAAACATAGAAAAAGGACTCTTCAATTCTCAAGCTACCAGGATCTCCAAAAATGCAGAGGATCCTCATCCTCCAAGTTCACAACATAACCGCTACCAATTTATATAGCACCACCATGTGCCAGAAACAGTTCTTAATACTTAAGAGATATAACTCATGCATTCTCGAGACAAACCTCGGAAGCAGGTACTGTTATTATCTCAGCTGTAAAGATGAGGGTAACTGAAGCAGCGGTACTGTTATTATCTCAGCTGTAAAGATGAGGGTAACTGAAGCAGCAGAGTCACCCAGATCACATGTGGCAAAGCTTGGATGTATCAGACAGACTCTAGTCTAGCTCAGAGCCCTTGCTCTCAAGACTCTTGATATTGACAATATTCCATCGTCTACTCTAAGAACTGGGGGTGCAGGACTGCATTCTTACCTTATCACACTGTCATGGACACTGATATTTTCTTGTGACATTTTCATGAGGAGATCTGGTAACTGAATATCAACAAAGAAGGTGAGATCACTGGGTTCCCAGCCCATATCCAAAAGATGAAGCAGGGCTGTCTGAATGCAAGATAAGGCAGGCAGCAGAGATCTAAAAAGACCACAAATGTGACAGTTATCAAAGCTGCCCATTGGTAACAGACAACAGGGACAGTGCAAGTTGAAAACCTTTTTTTATAATGGGGAAACAGAAATTCTCATATTCCATAAAAACATTCTGCAAACCTTAAGCAAAAGAACTCTGAGAGGTGTAAGGTAAGGTCTACCATGCCAGGACCACTGCAGGTACACCTTATAGTACAGGACTGAGCAGTAAAAAGCCACCTACCAGTAAATGGCAAGATCAGAACTAGCCCTAAACTAACCAAGGTTATGCAATTTAAATTTACAGAAGAGTGATTTAAGGTTTATGTCTAAAGGACTTACTAAGGACAAAATTAAAAATTTGGAGGCTACTTAAAAAGCTAGACATTGATCTACCATTTGATCCAGCAATACCACTCTTGGGGATATACCCAAAAGACTGTGACACAGGTTACTCCAGAGGCACCTGCACACCCATGTTTATTACGGTACTATTCACAATAGCCAAGTTTTGGAAACAGCCAAGATGCCCCAACACTGACGAATGGATTAAGAAAATGTGGTACCTATACACAATGGAATTTTATGCAGCCATGAAGAAGAACGAAATGTTATCATTTGCTGGTAAATGGATGGAATTGGAGAACATCATTCTGAGTGAGGTTAGCCTGGCCCAAAAGACCAAAAATCGTATGTTCTCCCTCATAAGTGGACATTAGATCAAGGGCAAACACAACAAGGGGATTGGACTTTGAGCACATGATAAAAGCGAGAGCACACAAGGGAGAGGTGAGGATAGGTAAGACACCTAAAAAATTAGCTAGCATTTGTTGCCCTTAACTCAGAGAAACTAAAGCAGATACCTTAAAAGCAACTGAGGCCAATAGGAAAAGGGGACCAGGAACTAGAGAAAAGGTTAGATCAAAAAGAATTAACCTAGAAGGTAACACCCACGCACAGGAAATCAATGTGAGTCAATGCCCTGTATAGCTATCCTTATCTCAACCAGCAAAAACCTTTGTTCCTTCCTATTATTGCTTATACTCTCTCTACAACAAAATTAGAAATAAGGGCAAAATAGTTTCTGCTGGGTATTGAGGGGGTGGGGGGGAGAGGGAGGGGGCGGAGTGGGTGGTAAGGGAGGGGGTGGGGGCAGGGGGGTGAAATGACCCAAGCCTTGTATGCACATATGAATAATAAAAGAAAAAAATAAATACAAGGAAAAAAAATTAAACTAAAGTTTTAATTTTTTTGGTGGCATTGTGGTTTGAACTCAGGACCATATGCTTGCTAGGCAGGCACTCTACCACTTGAGCCATACCTCCAGCCTGCTGTACTGAAGTTTCAAAACTGCACATAGTATATCAAAAACTAAAAATTAGTATATAGATTCTTAGATAAACCAAACCCCCATCCATGATGCACACATCAGACAGAAAAAGAGACTAGGAGAAAACATACTAGTAAGCTAACAATAGTGATTACCTCTAAATGGTAAGATTAGTGGATAATTTTATTTGACCCTGTGTACTTTTCCTGTATTTTCAACAATTAACATACATTTCATTTATAAACAGAAAAAAAACCTTTTTCCCCTAGAAATTTAAAAGTAATCCAGTACCTGTCATTCATGCTACTAAATCCTTTAATTGCTTTGACCAAAAACAGAACAAGTTGATAGTAGGTGCCTCGAATTTCTTTGTGCAGATCAGCACCGCAGCCTTCCAAATGTCCAAAGTAACTAGAAACAGAGGAAATCACTGAGTTAATTGTCAGGATAACTTTTAAACAATCTTTTTTCCTTACACAAAAGAACCAGGAAGCAGCAAATTGAACAAAGTACCCAGAAACAAGTATGATGACTTTTGATAGTAATGAACACACAGCAGCTGAATGCAGTTGATGGGCCTGAAAGAAGTATGGATATGACAACTATTCATCTTTCTCTCTGAACAGAGGACTACCCAAGCTGCCCCCCTTGCTTGAGTGCCAGATACTGTTATGCAGTTTTCACAAATTACCTCATTTAGTTGTCTCCACTCAATCATACCCACCATTTTGTCTCCCTTCATTGATAACTTTAGTAACAAGCTCTCTGTTACTTTTTTTCTGTTTTTGTTTTCCCTTTTTTTCTTTCTTGGCTTTTCTACCCTGATCACTATCACCTTGGTGACTTCAACATGCATGAGAATAATGATTTTTTCCCTTTCATTACTTAATCATCCAGCTTGATGATCATTTTCTTGAGTTTCTCATCAAATGACGGCTGACTTCAGGGCATGCTACTCTGCCCACAACCTCTATTCTGCCCTCCTACTGTGGACTCCCACACAGTCTCTTCTTCAGTTCTAATGAGTCCCAGTCCAGGAGACGACAACATGTTCACCATCTACTCCAGCCACACTTTTTCTCTCTGCTCCCGTCGCCTTGGATTCCATGGTCCTTCACCATACTCACATCTTAGCAAACACCAACTCCTTGGCCTCTTACTGTCTCTATATACTTGCCTGAGGAAACTTGTATTAGAACACTTGAATGTATCTGGAGGAAACACTATAGAACCAAGCTGACTAGTGCCACTTTAAATTCACAGCCACAATTCTTCATTTTTTTTTTGGTGGTACTGGGGTTTGCACTCAGGACCTCATGCATGCTAGGCAGGCACTCTACTATTTGAGCGCACTCCACCAGTCCCCCACAGCCACAATTCTTAAATAAGTACTTGAATAGTTAGGCAATTTAGTAGACTGGCTTTCTCAATTTTTATTACTTTTTAAAGACTTCTTTATATTCTTCTGAACCTTCATTTTTTCACTAATAATTTTTCTCAGTATTTTATTTTAAAAAATGGAAATGATCACACAGGAATTTCCTCATCTTTGCACCAGTCTACAACCATTTTGAATCTGCACTGTCCTGTTTCTTTCTGCTACCACAGTCTCTTTGATCTAAAAGACCAACTTTTACTCTCTACTTACACAGATTCTACTGCAAACTATCCCCTTGCCATCTAAGTCCATGTTGCCCTCATTACTGATTCATTTCTACCAGCATTTTAAAGTACTCCAGTACATCTTACAAACCTCAGGTATACAGCTCGGGGTATAGTTTATGGTACAGCATGTGCTTAGCAAGAGCAAGGCCCTGGGTTAAATACCCAGAACTATAAAACAAAAACCCTCAGTAGCCCCAGATCCCCTTCTAATTATTGCCCCATATTTCTGTTCCCCTTTAAGGCCAAATTCCTTGAACTGTCATAGTCTATTTTATCATCCCCATTTCCTTTCAACACAGTCCAAGTGGGCTTTGGCTGCACGGTTTCACCAAGACTATTGCCAAATCTAGTGTATTTCCCTCAAGCTCTCACATCAGCATTTGACTCAACTGGCCATTTTTTTTTCCTTTTATTCATATGTGTATACAATGTTTGGGTCACTTCTCCCCCTGATTCTACCACTAAAATATATCCTGAATGTCATCCATCTCCAGGACTCTCTAGTCTGAACCATCACCATCCTTGCTGGCACTACTCCAACAGTCTCCTAACTGCTTTTCCTACATCCACCCTTTTCCAAAGTAACCAGTGGTATCTTTCACTAATATAAACCAAAATATGCTCCTCCTAGACTTCAAAATCTCCAGTGGTTTCCCATATGCAATTCAGCACAAATAAAATCCAAACACCTTGTGGTTGGTAAGGGTCCTGCCTAACTTTTCAACCTTGTCTCATCTCATTTTACCCTCTCACTCAGCCAAGCTGGCTTTCTTTCTGTTCCTTGGGCTAATTCCCTACCCTAGAGCCTCTGCACTGTTTCTTCTGCCTTTAGTACTCTTTCTATCCTCCATCTTAGCTGATCATTCACTTCCTGGTTTATGTGCCATCTCCTCAGCCCACTTTCACTGATCTCTCAAACTACATTAAATCATTATCTGGTATTTCTTCATTTTTAAAAAATGCTCTCTCTTGCTCTTAAAGAGAATGTAAGCTCTATTAGAAAAGGGACCTTGTCTGCCTTGTCCACTGCTGTATATATAACACTTAGAACAGTACTTGGCATAGTAATAAGGGTTAGAACCACCTTGAGAAGCACTTAGATTAATGTCATTATTGTAAGTGAGCATCACAGTTCACAGCTTCTAGGAGTCAAATGATAACGTGGGTACATAAGGAATATAATTCTCACTGTCCGGTAAAAGAAAGCTGATAAAGTCATCAGGAGGGATAAACGTATTCCTGATAGTTACTAAAAGGATATAACCTATTTTCCTGGGATAAAAGAATGAATTCACCAAAAATGTAAACTGTATCCTACAAGGAAATGATGGAATTATCAATTCAAGAAGACAATTTCTATTTCTTTAAAATGACCACTGCTTGTTTTCCTTGCAGATTTGTCATTTGTACTTACTTGGTAAAATCTTTCTGGCAGGTCAAAAGTTCCAACAGGAAAAGTATATATGGTGGATGGAAGCAGTGAGGCTGTCCAAGGGATTCCATACAATACTGAATCACCCTCAGGACTTCAAGGATGCTCTGAGCTTGGGCTTTCTTCAAGGAAACAACCTTCACAACACTGGAGAAGAATTCAGGACAGGAACACCCAGAAAACTAAGCTGGAACAGGAGAAAAAACCTACCCCCATCCCAAGTTCTGAAGCCATAAGAAGGAAAAGAAAGTACTCTTATGAGGCATTAGAAATATTACACAGGGAGAACATTGATATCTATTGGCTACTTCTAGTCATTACTCAGCAATAGAAATCAGTGTGTACCCACAGTGAATAGGGCTAACAACTCATTTTTAAAAACTAAATAATTAAAAAGGAACTTTGGTATTTTTACTTCTTGTAGATAGACAAAGCCTTAATTTTTAGGACAGGAATTTCCTCACTAATAAAAAGCATACTATACTTTCAGAGGTGTAGGCACATGGATAAATAGTTTTTGTCAGAAAATACCAAATCCTAAATTTCTTCCAGGGTTAAAGTAAAACAAAAAAAAAAATTTTTTTTTTGGTGGTACTGGGGTTTGAACTCAGGTCCTACTTGCTAGGCAAGGTACTCTACCACTTGAGCCACTCTGTCAACCCTCTGTGTGTGTGTGTGCACGTGTGCATGTGTGCATGTGTGTGTGTGTGTGTGTGTGTGTGTGTGTGTGTGACATTTTTGAGATAAAGTCTCATGAATTATTTGCTTGGGTTGGCTTCGAACTGTGAACCATCCTTCTGATCTCTCCTAGGATTACAGGAGTGAGCCTACTGGTGCCCAGCTTAAATAAGACAACTTTTTAAGTGGCAGCTACCCAAAGAAATGCTCTTTAAAAAAAAAACCCAACAATACATTACTGAGATATATTTTATCTGCAGTAAAATGTATGAAGCTTAGGTGAAAAATACTTTTTCAAGGGAAAAAACACCCAATTTTTTTTATCTTGATCTTCATCTATCTTGAATATTATCCGTTCTCTGTGTGTGTATGTGTGCGCGTGTGTATGTGTGCGTGTGTGTGTGTGTGTGTGTGTGTGTGTGTGTGTGTGGTATAGGAGTTTGAACTCAGGGCCCTGTGATTGCTAGGCAAATACTCTACCGCTTGAGCCAAATCCTTAGCTCTTTCTGCCTCTTAGTTATTTTTCAGGTAGGGTCTTGAGTTTTTTGCCTGGGCTGATCTGTACTGTGATCCTTCCACATAGCTAGGATTACGAATGCATGCCACCATGTCCACCTTTATTGGTTGAGATGGGGGTCTCACTAACTTTTTGCCCATGTGTGCCTCAAACTATGATCCTCTAGATCTCTACCTCCTGAGTAGCTGAGATTTACAGATATGAGCCACTGTGCCCAGCCTTATTTGTTCATTTTTAATATTAAACTTCAAGACTTTGACTAGACTGGGTACCTATAGCTTGAAAAGATGAAGTGCTAGAAGTAAATGATTAACTCACCTCTCATGTGAGAGTGACTGATCTTTAATAAAGTCCATAGCATCCTTTAGCACCGGGTATTTCTCTTTTACTGTGGGCACTGGTCTGGCCTCTTCCATGGATCTGAAAGAGAGCAGTCGGAGTCGCCCTCGGGTGAAGGGCGGCCGCCGATTTGGTGTGGATGGTGAGGAGGGCTCGTCTGCTGTGGGCGCTTCTGCAGAGGGAGGGCCACCACTTGGTTGCAGCTTTGGCTGGACCTCACAGCCAGGACTCTTGTCTCCCACAGCCAGGGGTGCTGCTTCTGTGGGAAATGCTGAGGCTTGGAAATGCTCTTCTACCACAGAGCTTGTCCTCTGGCGCCTGTCCAGTGGCTGGAGATGATCAGTTTCACTGGCAGTCACTAACTTCTCACAGTTTTCTTTTGTACTTTTGCCCATGGGCAAAAATTTTAATAACAGAAGACTTTTCTGAATACATTCTTTTGCTAAATGCAAAAAAAACAGGAATGGTAATGAGAAAATGTCAAAATCAATTTTATAGACTACTTTCAGAGAGAAAATAAACTGCCTTCCCAAATACTTGTGATACGCACATCAACTGACAGAACAGAATCAAACATAAGTCTTATATAAAATCAAGATCTTGCTAAGACACTTTTTTGGGGGGGCAGTACTGAGGTTGAACTCAGGACCTTGAGCTTGCTAGGCAGGCATGCTACCACTCTAGCCCCTCTGCCAGCCCTTTTTGTGTTGGTTATTTTTGAGATAGGATCTTGCTTTATTCCTAGGCCAGTTTGGACCATGATCCTCCGATATGTAGCTGGGATGACAGGCACATGCCACTATGCCCAGATTGGGTTCTCTTGAATTTAGGCCCTGAACTGCGATCTTCCTGATCTCTGTTTCCCAAGTAGCTAGCTAGGATTATAGGCTGGAGCCAATGTACCTGGCCATGTAAGTATACTTTAAAAAAAGTTTTATTAAAATAAGCATATTGCGTATACATAGAGAACAGTATAAGAACTGCTTCATGTACATAGCACTATTTTATCTGTAAAAACTTCAGCCTACTTTGCTAAAATAAAAAGGACTTTAAAAAATATAACCACAATACCATTTTCAAAAATTAATAACGATTCTTTGATTTCTGACCACTTATTCAATGTAAGCACACAAACAACTTAACAAGATGTAGCTCAAGAAGCACTTGATGACTCCTAAGAGAAGTCATTAGGAAAGATGCTCCACTTGGAACATGTTAATAAACAATTACTCCTCTTTGGCATTTCCTCCATTTGAGGTATGTCCTTAGAAATGATATTCAGCAGCTTTGTTACTTTTCATAGATCAACACAGCCTTAACTAGGAAAACCTAGAGGGCACGGAGCTGATTCTCTAGGATTTGAAAGGAAACCTGATGGCCCAGTGACCACAGCTGGTGTCAGCACACTCACCTAGGCTCTCTGGGTTCACCTCTGCAGCTTCTGAACTGAGTTTTTCTTCTGCCTCATTCCCCAGGCTCATCAGGGACTTTTGCTTCATCTCTAACTGTGGGAAGGATTTGAGCCACATAATTAAGCTGTTCAGCCAGGGCAGCAAGGGCAGCCACAGCAAACTGCTTCAAAAGAACCTGGCATTGAGATCATGGAGGTCTTCATAGCTATTGACCAGCTGCTCAGGACATGAGGCTGAGCTGTTTTTGTTTATCCTTTGAAGCTATCTAACGACATATCTGAAAAACAACCTTTTTTTTCAAGTGCAAGGTATTTGGGAGGAGTTTGTATTCATGACTTTATTATGTTACAAAACCTAGAACACTGGTGCCAAAGGGTCCTTTCTCTAAAGCTCACAAGTACAAACAAAGCACTTGAGGTCTAGAGAAATGGAAATGAGGGGATACCTCTCAGGGATGCTGAGACTCCAGGCAGAGAAGGTGCTGTGAGGACCACTGCAGGCAATGGTTACAGCATGGGCCATAATGCTGATTTCCCAGGCAGAAGGTACATGTGATGTACAAGAGGCCAAAGTCTTAAAGAAAAGTGTGGTATCTTGTCTATTTGTTGTAGTCTGTCCTAGGCTGACCCGAAGCATTATCTACAGCATGCCCCTCAGTTGACAAACACTTTTTACCTAAACTGTCTATATGGCTGACTCAGACACATTTTTCCTTTAAACCATGATAGAGCACATGGTTTCTCTATCAGCACACTGATTCTCCTACCATTTATTTTTACTTTTTTGTGGTGCTGGAGATGAACCAAGGGCCTTGAACATGTAGGCAAGCACTCTACTACTGACCTACACACCCAGCTGATTCTCTTCCTACAATTCTGATGATGATGCCTTTTAGTTTCTTCTGAGATATCTTGTTCACTTTGATCTCTATCTATTCAGTATATTTCAGGCACCAACTATATTCTAGTCACTGTGGATTTTGTCCAACACTCTCTATTCCTGAATAAACACATATTCTTTAAAAAAGAACTATTACGAATGATATAAAGTTAGTCTTACCTCTGTCTTGACATTTTTGTGAAGCACCAGCCACTTAGATTATTTCATTCATTGAATTTTCTAGCTAGATATCTCAGATAACAGGTCCTAAGCTGAACTTCCCAGATCCAAGACCACTTTTCCTGTCCTTGCCAATATATCTACTACCTACCAAGTAACCCACCAGAAAGCTGGGACTATCCTAAATTCCTCCTTCCTGTTCACCACTCACATCCATCCATCACTAAGTCATATGGATTATTTTACCTCAGTTGCAAAAGCCATCCTATTTAACTAATGCAATTAGTCTTTGGCTTTCAATGTCATTATCCATTCTCTACCCAATTATCTAAAGAATTTTTTCTCAATTAAGAGACAGTAAATATATAAAGAATAAAGAATACTATAGGTACTCATCTCCATGTCTAGGAAACAAAAACAATTCTCCTGAATTTAGTGTTTATCATTTCCATGCATTTGTATAATTTTACTACTCATTTACATATATAACATATATGTTTTGTTTGTAACATGTACATTTGATTTTAAAACCTTATATAAGATTATAATATGTATGCATCTTTTGCAATTTGCTTTTTTCTTCCTCACTATAAAATCTCTTGAGAGTCATCCTTGCTGACATATGTAGCTCTATTTCATTCACTTTTATTGTAATCTTACATTATTATTACACTGTAATATAATATTATATAATAATATAAAATTTCTTGTCCTTTCTCCTGCCAGTGGGCATTTGGTTCTCCAGGTTACTGCTATCATAACCACAGCAGAAAACAATTTTCTAGTATGTCAGAGGTCTTTTCTGGCCCTGAAACTGTCAATGAATTCCCAGTATCTAAAGCAGCAACTTTTTTCTCTGGGTATGTTCAGTGCTATGGAGTGACCTTTGGGGTTTCTGAAAGACAAAAGAAGGGCTCAGTTGTACCCTGCTTACTCTGAGCATTTTTAACACCAAATTATGACTCCCAGGGCTTTAGTTATTTTATATCTATTCTTGACAGTGAAGTTCAATTTAAAAAAAAATCCTAAGATTATATTCTTGAGAAGAGAGTTACTTACCTTAATTCCATGATATCATAGTGGGAAAACCTAAAGTATATCAAAATCACATGGGAAGGAAAATCTTACCATCCATATTCGAATCCCATCTGCCAGGGAATACACCTGTGCAAACTCTTCACTCAGGGCCATCTTGCCCCCACTGTTTACTAGGGAAAGGAGAGAGGAAGAGATTACATTCAGTTAACACAATTCATGACTTCAGTATTAAAACAAAGTATCCTCTGAATCTTCTGAAGTACAGAAAAAGTCCTCCTGACACACACAGATTGGGATGGCAGGAGAGCCTTGAGAGAAAATCATTGATTAAGCAACAAATACCTGGATGGGTTTCCTGTGTCAGTTCAATTTTGTTCAAACTAATAATTTCTGAAATGAAGGTACTCTTAATATTAAAAAAACATAAAAACTACTAAAAGTAAATTTTTTAAAATATTAAAACTGAATTAAAAAAATCTTTGACATAGGAAATAGTTAACGGTATATTAAATAAGAAAGCACATTATGAAACAGTATAAACAAAACAATCTCATTTTAAGAGCATATATATATATATATATTTACACACACATATATATATATTAAAAATATGGATAGATATATATACATGTATGAATATAGATAAAGGCCACGTGGGCATGCAAGAAAATGTTGAGAGGTGTTCTCTAAGTGGTAAGATTGCAGTTCATAATTACTTTAAGCTTTTCTTTACTTTGCTAAGTCTATACAACAATGGGTATTATTTTTATAACTAGAAAAATAATCCCAAGCATGTTTTTTAAAAAGACTTATGAAGTCTGCTCCTTCTCTTCATTCAAAGACCAAAATATTATAATCTAGAATAGGGTAGAACTCTCTGTTGCATTAGTGTATAGTGCAGTCGATATTTTCTGAAAGCCTAGAATGGGCCAGGATCTACACTAGGCACTGGGAATACAATGCTACTGGGAACACAATGCTGAGAAAAAGACATAGCCCTTGTCCTCATGTAGGTTACACACTAGTTGAAAAATACCTCTCTTGCTCTCTCTCTGCTTCCTGGCTGCCACAAGATGAGCAGTTTTTCTCCACCATGATGTTTCTGCCTTGCACAAGTCTAAAGTAAGCAAGGGACTCAACTGATTCAGAGTGAAACCTCTGATACCTATAAGACCCTCATCAGAAGCCGAACAAATGCATGCTTATTAACTTCTCAGCCTCTGGAACCATGAGCCAAAATAAACTTCTATTCTTTATAAATCACCCAGTCTTAGTATTCTGTTATGGCAACAGAAAATAGATTAAGAAAGAGTTCCAGCTTCAGTTTCAGAAAGCCACATATAAGGTCTATACTGATCCTGATAGATGAGTCGGAAATCTGAAGTGGCATATCACGTGCCTTTGTAAGAAAAGTTGACTACAGTGTTTTAAATCATAAAGACATTTGTGTTCACTTAACACTGGCCTTCTGAACCTTTTTATACTATCGAAGTCTGATGAAGTTAAGAACTTTTTTTGGAAAAAAAAAGACAATTTTAAGTGAAAATGAAATACATACAATTGCAAAACAAATTATACTGAAATAGTCACTTATAAATTAAAAATAAACTTATGATATAGTAGATACATACTTTTGATTAACTTACTAAATAATAAAAGCTAGTAGCTAGTAGCAGGATTAACAGTAACTTTGAGTAGAAATATGAATGTTAACAAGGACTCAGAAGGAAGAGAAGAACACGGTAGAGAAAAACTGGTTATCACAAGCAGACTGTTAGTAAAAATGGGAATGTTAGTGACATTTCTGGTGAGGACTCAGAAGGAAATAAGAACATGGTTTTGGAAACTAGAGGAAAGAGAATTCTGTCCATATAGTTCCAGAAAGGTCATCTGAATTGCATCCTACATTTCTATGGAAAATAAAGCTTGTAAGGGGCAAGCTTGGTCACTTGGCTGAGACTATTTCCTAACAAAGTGTTGAAGGTACATCATGGTTTCTTCTTGCTGCTTTCAGTAAAAGGGGGAGTACATATAACAGGCAAGGTGAGGAAATAATTGTCAAGGAAAAAGGGAACCAAGGACTTGATGACATGGGAAATTCTCAGCTTATCCAGATGCTGGAAAAGGCCATCAAAAATACTAAAATCAGATCTGCGTCAGGAAAACATGGTCAGAAGAGAAAGTCAAGGGTCTATTTAATCTTTTGCTAATGCCTCAGAAAGATCAAAAAGTCAAGATATTCAGACACACAAAAAGTTTTTTTAAGAGATTAAATGTGTCATTAGTGGATCCCCTCACCCATCACAGGAGAAGCCTGGAAGAAAGATGGAATTATCCAAGAAATATCTATGGAAAAGCCTCTTGTTTAATGGAAGGAAGTCCCATGACATACACAGGAGATCCACCAGGTTTTTTAGAATTTTCTAACAGCAGAAATACTTCCAGACTAGGCTGGCAGTCCAAGGATGAAATGAAAGAAGACTGTCAGAACCTCAGCTCTTCCTGTCAGCTGTCAGGAAATAAGGTGATAAAACTACTCAGCTGCAAAAGAAGGATTCTTAGGGTATAACCACAAACTCACAGAACACAGTCATAATCATTAGGCCTTGAAACCTAATGTTTTCCTAGATGTTCTCAGTTTCTAACCCTCTACTGAAAAGTTTTATGACTACCCTCTCCCCGACCAAGTAACAATGTGAATTACTTCACAACCCCCTAATTCCTCAGTGGAGATATACTCTTCCATATGACATTTGTTTCCACTCAAGTCTCAGTGTAGGGGACTGGAGGTGTGGCTCAAGTGGTATAGCACCTGCTTTGCAAGTACAAAGCCCTGAGTTCAAACCCCAGTACCACC